CACTGGGCATGAGGGTTCTTTTACAGAAACAGTTAATAAATTGGGAAACATGAATTTATGGATTTAATGATGAAGTGAAGTAATAGGTCTCACACTAGAGGACTTCCTTATCTTAACAACAGGGTTTATGAATGAACAATTTGATGTAACTAAGGTTGAAGTTTTCTTTTGCAGATCAACAACAAATGCTGATTAATTTCTGTATATGGTGTCATATTTTGTTTTCTTTTATGAATTAACTGTCATTCTTCAAACAAAGGGTGGAGACTGAGTGAAGATGACCATAAAAGTGTGAAATTGTTTTTTTTCTTCAAGCTATAGGAAGGATACACATTGTTAATTCTTTGAGTACACAATGGTGTTGATATTATGTTCAGTAGTCAAAGGAGCTTGCAAAGAAAAGCGTCTGGACTTCTTTAAGTTGCTTGAAGACGTTTCACCTCTCATCCGAGAAGCTTCTTCAGCTCAGTAGTTAGAAAATAAATTTCCATGTTTGTTTTAATGTGATTCTAATGGGGTTGAATCCAAAGGGTGGAATGTGGTGGTAGATTTCTTTTCTCATGTATTAATCACATATTTTAACCATATCACTTTAGTATAGTAAGAGCACTCCTGTCACCAGTTTGTATGCATGTGGAATGTGATCACAAATGGGCCCCAAGTTTTATTGCACCTTCACAGCAGACTCATTTTCCTTTTGAGGGCTCTGGACATCATGTTGTAAAGGAGGTGAGGGTTGGTCAGAGCTTTTCTTAGACTGAACAGTTAAGGATCTGCTAATAATTGATCTGCTGTGGAATGTTCTTTGTTTAAGAGTGTCTGTGTCTGCGTGTATAAGATGTAAGGGCAGTGGCCACAATTCAGAGATGGTCCTATTATTTCACTGGGATGCTCTCTCCTCATTGCAATGTGTTTATTAAACCCACTTCAAATCAAGCTCACTGGGTGTGTTGCAGGTTATTGTTAAATTTTCCACAACATCACCCTGCCCGGGATAGGTTTACCAGGGCCCTGCCCTGGAGCCAGGCCTGGGGAGGGTGCCTGATAGCAAGCGTCTGATGGTTGGGTCTTAGTCCATGGAGTCTGGCTGGGCACAGTCCGAAAAAAGCCCATCCTCCTGTAGGCCCACCACCCACAGGAGGTGCCGTAGGAGTTGGGTGAAATGTGTGTTGGGCGGCAGCCAGGGGTAGAGGCCATGGCGGCCAGATCCCCAGCTACCAAGACTAGAAAGTGGGACATGGAATGTCACCTCTCTGGTGGAGGAGGAACCTAAATTAGTGATTGAGGTTTAGAGGTATCAGCTAGATATAGTCGGGCTCACCTCAACATCCTGGTGGACGAGAGCATTAGTTGCCTGTGCCTTCAGGTCAGGAAATGGTTTTCTGACTGTCATCTGCACTTATGCGCCCAACAGCGGTTCAGAGCACCCAGCCTTCTTGGAGTCTCTGGGCAGGATGCTTGAGGGTGCTCCACTAGAGGCAGACTTCAACGACAGCAAGATTTGGAGGGGCGTGATTTGGAGGAACAGCCTCCCAGATCTGAATCTGAGTGGTGTTTTGTTGTTGGACTTTTGTGCAAATCAGCAAATCACAGTTTGTCCATAATGAACACCATGTTCGAACATAAGGGTGTCCATAAGTGCACGTGGCACCAGAACACCAGGTCGATGATTGATTTTGCAATCGTATCACCAGACCTGCGGCCATATGTTCTGGACAATCAGGTAACGAAAGCGGCTGAGCTGTTAACTGATCACCACCTGGTGGTGAGTTGTATCAGGTGGTGAATGCTGGACAGAATGCCTGGCAGAGGACCCGGCCCACAATGCACACCTCCGGTAAAGAGTCAACAGCAATCCAAGGGAGACTGGGGACATTGAGTCCGAATGGACCATGTTCAGCACCTCCATTGCTAAAGCCACAGCACTGAGTTGTGGCCACAAGGTGGGTGGGGCCTGTCGTGGTGGTAACCCCCAAAACAAACCGTGGACACCAGAGTTGAAGGGAGCCATTAGGCTGAAGGAGGAGTCTTATCAGGCTTGGTTTGCCTGTGGGACTTCGGAGGCAGTTGATGGGTCCGACAGGCCAAGCAAAACATAGCTCAAGCAGTGGCTGAAGCAAATACTCGGGCGTGGAAGGAGTTTGGACAGGCCATGGAAAAAGATCTTCGGACTGCCTCGAAGAGATTCTTCTATACATAGCGCTCCACAGTGCGGGTGGAGCGCTGCTGACTTCAATTGAGAACATTGTCAGACGGTGGAAGGAATACTTTGAGGATCTCCTTAATCTGATTGGCATGTATCAGTGGAGAAACCAGAGACTGGGGACGAGGGGACGACTCATCTTTCTCCGAGGGCGAGAGAAAAAAGGGAATACATATGCACTTAACATGTTTATTGAACATCTTAAACAAATAACTCTCTAAACATTTATCCGCATTAACTTGGGCCTGTTACTCCTCTTTCAGCCAGTTACTGAGTCAAGCTAACTTGTTGCCTCAGTACAGGAATACGTTATTTTCTTCTGTGAGGATCATCCAATGTGACCCGACAACCTTGTCTAGACAACGGCCTTGCAATTATATTACAGACAAGATATTTAAATATTATATCTGAAGTCCTCATCCTCGAAAGCTTTAATTATTGAATTACAAAAGAAATCTCTTAGCTGACATTAAACATGATGGAGAATTTATTCACAAACACTGAGTCAGAAACAACATTTAGACACACATTACCTCTCTGCAGCAGCAGCACCTGGTCCTCTGTGAAAACTCAGACCAGTATCCAATGACTGGGCACGCTTTAAGGCCAAATTCCTATTTTCAGTTTGAGGAAGATCTGGTCTCAGAAACATCCTGACAGAAAAAAAGAAAAACACTTTTTTTCATGTTATTGTAAAAAAAAAAAATATTTTAAAATGTAAATGTTTTAATCAAAGTAAAGGAATAAGGGGAGGAAACCCAAAATAAAGAAGTCACACACATGATGGACCTCATTAAATCAGAAATAACAAATGATCAATTTATCAAACTATTTCACTGACAACATTTTATCCTCTGTAGAGAATATGAGTATAACCTCTGCACTAGCAGGATTACCATTATTTTATTCAGTTACAACATCTGTGTGACCTTTGTCATGTACAGAGAAACTTTGAAATGGTAAAAAAAAAATAATGGTAGGTGTGCAGAGGTTATACTCTTATTCTGCACTAAGATTTCTTTCCCTCTGCGCACCTGTAGATGATTCAGGCATGCACAGATTTATCCTCTAAAATAAGATCCAGCCCTGATTAAACTCTGAGAATGACTCACTCTGTGTCACACAAACATGTTTATATTAAACCACTCTTAAATGTTTCTGATCTAACAGATCAGCTGTTATATTTCACATTTTTATAATGGACCAGATTATAAAAGCTTAACCTCCTCTGCATGGATCCTGCACTCTGTCACATTTATCCAGAGAATATCGGACTTAAGATCAGACACATTGCTGTGATAAGTGTGATACTAACAGTAATCTGGATACTTCTTTACTTTTTTCTGCTTTAAAACGAGATTTCTTTATAAATCAGTGCTCTGACTGGTCACCGTGGAGACCAGCACCACTGTGAAATGCTGAGAAACCCCCACACAGTCTGAAATGGATCCATGACAACATCATTATCTGGATCAGTAGCACAATCAGGTCTTACAGAAGGGGAAAAATAAAGCTTGCAGGAATTTTGTTTTCTTTAACTAATTTCATGTATTTCAAAATTAGATCCATGTATCAGTGTAAATGTAGTAAATATGGTCATTTAAGATGATGTCATTTGGAATGTTTCTTGTTTCCCGTGTTGCTTTTCCTAAACTTACCTGATAATTCTTTCATGATTTTTCTCATAATATGTATCGGTTTTCTCAATTTCTTCTGGTGATCTTCTTAGCTGGGCTTAAAAAGATCTGAGTTTTTCTACCAGTTAGAGACTGTTAAAAATCCACACAGCCATGGCTCAATTCTATCCTATCTGACTGCAGTGAGTTCATAAGAAGTGTGATCTGTAACCAGAAGAGTTTCAGTTGAAATTGTGAGTCTGTGCCTAGTTCTTGAAAAAGGGACAAGAAGTGTTTCAGCTTTGTTTTAAAGCTCCAAGTCAAAAATACATAGATCATAATGCTAAATTTACCAAATAATGAATACAAAACGTGCCCAAAGACTTGACTAGTCATTTGCACTGAAATGTTGTAAATCAGGGCTCACAGTAACTGATAAACTAAGAGTGGTGACTGTCAAGACAGAGAGTGTTACGGCCACTAAACACAATGTATTTGTATCAATGTCTCGTCCAGAATAAAGCCATCCTTACAAAAATCAGACTGCATAATGAACTTTATTCTTTTAAAATACTCCTACATTTTGTGATATTTTATTAAATGTACAAGGAAAAAACCTGAATAAATACAAGCAGTAAAGATGGTTTTTATATGAAGTTAGTCACTTTTTTGGGGAAAGCACAATCTACTTTTACTTCATTTTTACTTAAGATTAGGAAGTATTTATATATGTTTTGTAAAGATCAAAATCTCAAAGGATTCTGCCGTAAAGAGCACAATATTTTAAATATAGAATCAGCAGTGCTACATCTTGGGCAGGTGATACTGATCCTAATGATGGAAAACTCTGGTCCTTGGAGATCTTTGCAGGTTCTGCTGGAGCTGATAAGTTAGCTGTGCTCTGTTAGAGCAGTCAAACCCATGAGGATCAGCTGAGCTTCAGCTTAAAGCCAATGAGGTGCTCGCTCCACAACAGCACAAATCAAAGTCCAAACTTCTTCATTTTTATCACTGCAAGAATCCAGAAACCTCCATGAAGACAAACTTGTCAGCAGGACATCAAAGCAGTGCTCACTAAACTGTTTGTCCTCCTCCATCCAACAACACCTGAAACACCTCCTACAACATCCGTTCTTTACACTCTGACTGCTG